TAAAGCTCATGGCTTTCTTTGAAATCCATGTAACGGGCTTCCAACCAACACATCCAAATCAAATGACCTTAGTGTGCTAGATTTAAAGAGATCCCTCGGGTTTACTTGCCCGAATCTCAAAGGCCACAGATTAGTTTTATTTGCTATTATTAAGTTCATGACTTTCTATGGAACCCGTGTAACGAATTTTCAACTCAATCACTCCCAAACAATTTAGCTTTAGGCGATTAGGTGTAAAAAACCCCTCAGAGCTTACTTGTTCGAATCCCAAAGGTCACAGATTAACTTAATAATAGATTTTTTTTAAAGTTACACAAATACAAATAACTAAGTTAACACATAACACTCTTATTAACTTATTTATTTGGCCAATTTCTTTACATTTCCGTCCTTGATTTTTCTATTATGGGACATCTCACGGTCTATTAGCGTGAGGACTTCTAAGACATTTTTCAGGGGACTAAAGGTTAACATGCAAAGACCCGTAAGTATAGTTGAAAGCTATGTCCTCAAGCAGGGTATATAAAAGGAAATGAGTAGAAAGGACTTTTAAGAGCGCTGGAAGACGGGACATTGAGATTTTGCATTCTTTTTATAAACTTTTGAATTTGGCATTTTAAGTTCAATTGAACATTACTACTCATAAGACCAGTCATATGTCCCAAAGAATCGACTCATACCTGCTGTTATGCTCCAGTGTAGACAATCTTCTCATTTTTCTGTTTTGCACAAGTAGCTTCAGGAGATGTGCTCGTGTGTGATTAACTTGCTTTTAGATTTTTCAATAAAAAGACCAAGCCAATTTCAAGGCACACAACTCACTTACCATCTCAACTGTTTTGAAAAGATTCGGTTGCTTGGGATTGGATCAAATTTTTTTTTTATGCAATGCAAAAATTTAGATGAAAACAAAATGCAAAGAAAATAATAAAAATTAGAATAGAAAGAAAATCTTTTTGGTTTTTGAAAAATTTTCCATGCAGAAAAAAAAATGAAAAAGAAAATGAAATGAAAATTAATGCAATATGTACTTTTACATGCAACGGGATTTATACATGGATGGATTCCCCTCCCCAAGCTTAAAATATAGCATCGTCCTCAATGCTTGGAGAGAGGCATAGTCGGCCTATTAAGAGTCGGATGATAGAGGATGGTAGCTGGGTTGGGAATGGGGGGTTGGTATGCAATGATTTAAACAAAAGAATAAAGCAATAAGTAAATGATCAATTAAATGAAACAAATTCAGGATTTGTGAGAACTCCAACTCTATGCAAGACAAAGTAGCAATGTGATTCCATGGATGACAAGATATTTGTTTAATTCTATCTAAGTTGGTACTTGAAAGTGTTAACAAGCTCTAACACTTCCCATTCACCACAATAATTAACCAAAACAAGCTCTTTGATTAATCCTAACCTTACCAATCTAATCTAAACAAGCTCTTAGAATTAGGTTGAAAGATTGCATTAAACTTTATGTGAATGTTCCCAACAATGCTCAATACTCTTCATAAGCTCGGGAGCATAAGAATGTGTGAATAGATTTACACTAATTTCATTCAATAGAAATCAGATTAGTGCTTGTTACCTAGTCCAATTTACAAAACAATTACGGATTTTGCACTTAGATAACTTGAATGATCTAACCCTAATTCAAATGGCCAATAAGAATCACAATTAGAATCAAACATTCGATTGAGACAAAATCAAATGCACTAGATAGAAAACTGAAAGCAAACATCAAGTCATATGATTGAAATCACATCCAAATGTCAAGACATAAAGTTGGAGAATTTAGGGTTCTAGCCACTCATGGCTAGAACAAGATCACAAATCTAGAAAATGAAATTAAAGTTCTTACAAAATGAAATCAAATGTTCCCAAGTGTTAATCAACTTCAAAATCCTCAAGAAATTTACCTTCTCTACTCCAAAAGTCGACCCCCTAAGTAAAAAGTCGGTTTCCCCTTTAAGAATGGTGAAAAACTGCTTTAAAACCCACGTTTACGTTTACACGGCCCGCGTAAATTAACATTGTCATTTACACGGCCTGCGTAAACGCAAAAGTATACTGCGCAGAAATCTACGTTTACACGGCCCGCGTAAACGAAAGGCTTGCATTTACACGGCCGTGTAAATCTCTGTAAAGCCAAAATGTTCTTTTCTTTGATATCTTGCTCATCGGTGCTCCGCAAGTCCCGAAATTTTGTCCGCAACTTTTATTTACCTCCTCCAACAAGATCCTACCTCCAAAAGTCCCTGAAATATCACAAAAGTATTTGAATGAAATTGCCTCATGAAAAATCCCGAAAAACATGCAAAATTCATGAGTTTAAGCCTATATGCAATGTACTTTTATAAAATAAAGCTACAAAATGGGTACATGAAATGCACCTAACAGATTGGTACCCCATAAACTTCTTAAATGAATTTTCAGATAAAAAATTGTTTCATATCAATTTTAGGTGTAGGTTTCAAATCAGAACTTAACTCAGATTAGAATTAGGTTTCAAAAATGAATTTTCAAACATTTGTAGTGAAGGAGGATGAAGGGACGATCAAAATGAGATTTTATTCAAGTAATGTTGGTGACAAAAAACCATCTATCAAAATGAGGTTTAATTCAAAAGGTGGTTTAATTTAGGTTTAGGTTTCAAAACTGAAATCGCACTTGGTTTTGCTTGGAAGTAGATGACGACACTGATAATTGTGTGTGCTTTTAATTTCTAGAATAGAAGCTCTATCGAGAAGACAATGTGTGGATGTGTGTGTATTATTCTAGGGTCACCGCTACCGGATCTTCTAGTGCCCTGATTGATAGGTCTAGCCATGGTGGTTTGGATTTCTAGAAGCAGTTGTCAAAATCCCTAAATCAAAATGTGGTGGTGGTGCTCGGGAAACGATGTCCAACACACGGATACAAAGAGAAGATAGGGGTAGACCTTTTGTGTATATATATATAAAATAACAAAAAACTTCATCAATGGTCCATGTGGTAGTGAAATGATGAAAATATCCTTCAATTAACGGATAAAACTTAAGGGAGTGAGCAACGAGGACCAAACATTACAAGTTTTGAAAGCACACAAACGATCTGTAAGGTTTTTTTTGAACTTATAGACTATATGTCATATTTTAGAAAAAACAGGGATCATTAATGATGTTTTTTCTTTATAGAAATATAATATGTTTAATTTTTTTCTCGTATAAGTACTAAATTTTGTAGTATTAATAAAATTCTAATAATTATATTACAAATAACGTTCACTATAAATAATATTGTTAGGAAATTCAACTAGAACAATGATTTTTTTAGTGTCAAAAATAACAAAAATTAATATCATATTATCTTGCCAGTGAGATATATAGCTAGAAACATGTTTCCCTCTCTTAAAGAATTGTATGTCTTGTTTAAGGGGTTATGACTTAAAAATGTAATATATTTTTTAATTTGTTTATATTTGGTTGTTGGGTTTTTTTCGTTCACATTTACCCTTTCAATTTGTTAAACTGTACATATTTAGTATTTATGACCGGCTACTCCATGTAAGTCGGTAAAAATAACTTAATAAGGTAATACATTTCTCACTTTGTACACATTTAGTCCTTAATATTTTTGTACACATTTAGTCCTTTTTTTTTTGTACAAAATAAGTTATTTTTGTTTTTGTAATCAATGATTTCTTAAGGTTTTTCTCATTACATCTTACGTATGACAATCATTAATGAGGTATTTGAGGATTTTGATGTTTATGTCCATCGTGATCTCAACTACTTAGTTGCTAAGGTCATGTGTTCTGAACTACATAACTTCTTCATACGATCTCCGATTTTAACGATCTTTATATTCATACATTCATATTTTAGTGTACTACAACTTTCGTTTAGATTACTTCCGTTAAAAAAGTAATATATTTTTACTTACGATCTTTATATTCATATGTTTTTTTTATAAATGCATGTATGGATGTTTTTTTTAAATCGTTAGTAAGAATATATTACATTATAACGGTAGTAATCTTAACGAAAGTTATAGTAGACTAAAAAAACGAACACGTAGACATAAAGATCTTTAAAATATGATATCATATAAATACGTTACGACGTTTAAAACACAAGACCTAAGTCAAACCACAAGACGTGCGCAACAAAACAGTCGAGATCACAATGGACATAAACATCAACAACCCGAAAACACCTCATCAATGATTGTCTCACGTAAAATATCGTAAGAAAAACCTAAAGAAATCATTCACAAGTACTTAATAAGTACAAAAACAAAAATGAATTATTATGAAACAAAAAAAATATATATTAATGATTAAATATGCACAAAAATAATAATGATTAAATGTGTACAAAATGATAAATATATAACCCAAATAAGTTATTTTTTTCAGTTAACCTAGAGTAACCGGTCATAAATACTGAATGTGTACAATTTAACAAGTTCAAAAGGTAAATATGGATGGAAAAAAAAAACTCAATGATTAAATATGTACAAATTAAAAAATATATTACTTTTTTAAATCATTACCTTTCATTTAAACCCTCCCTTTTAATATTTTGCCATTAATTGACAGCTTTTACGCCATCTTTTGAAATTTAAAGACGATAGGGTAAAAGAAAATATAAAGAAACAAAAAGTAAAAGTGGAGAAGAGTAGGAAAACGGAGGGAAACCCTCTTCAAGTGAGCAACTACATTTGAAAGGATTAGACCAATGGTTTTTGGACGAGTAATATTAAGAGTTAGAGGAATAGATGTTTATCAACCAATTTAAGGTTTAAGTTTCGTCTACAACAATAGTTATAAATTTGAAAATAAGTATAATAATGAATGTAGATGCATAAGCTCTTCTAAAAAAGTAAAAAAAAAAAAAAAAAAAAACATTCTGATATATCGGTTTCAAAGAAAATAGTTATCCTTCACTTCCCCTCTGTTTCCTTTCCATCATTAAAAAAAACAATAAACAAAAACATTAAAAAAAAACACATTTCTTTTCCTTTTCTTTCTTAAAAAATGTTAAAAACATTAAATTTTCGTCTCCATGAGAGAAAGACCGAAGGAGTATATCCCATTGTCACAAATATTATTCTGTTTTTGGGCGGTGCACACTGTACACAGACGGTTATACAGAGCCTAATATACAATACAAAATGTCTTTCTAGAAGTATCCAAACTCCATATGGGCATTTTAGTAATTTCACATACACTTATGCACATCTTCTCGTAAGGCCACACGTATTTAAACCCGGCCCCCTTCCAAACAACTCACTGATCCACACAAAAGATTCTGAGAAAATGGAAACCTCTTCTTACGAATCAAACTCAACATTTTCTAAAACACCATATCCACAATCTCAATCATCAAACCAATCATTACATCATGAAACCAGATCTGGGTTCTTCAAGAACGAGGATGTATGGCCGAAAACCCAAATCAAAAGAAAGAAGAATCAAGTTTTTCTTGAAGGGTATGTAGAAACGTCTGATGAAGAAGAGCTTGTTAGGGCTAGGAGTTTAACAGATGAAGATCTTGAAGAACTTAAAGGGTGTTTGGATTTAGGATTTGGTTTTAGTTACGATGAAATTCCGGAGCTCTGCAACACCTTGCCGGCGCTGGAATTGTGCTATTCAATGAGCCAGAAGTTTCTCGACGACCAGCAGAAGTCGCCGGAGTCTACGTCGACGGTGAATTATTCATCGTCGCCGCCTTCAGTTGCCAAATCTAATTGGAAGATTTCTAGTCCTGGTGAGTATTTTGAAACGGTACCCAAATTAGAATTGATTGAAATTTGCATTGATGTCTACTTCAATCAAGTGATTTTATTCACAATTTGTAATTCGATTTGTGTTTGATTCTGGAATCTAATTAAAACGTATCTGCAGGTGATGATCCTGAGGATGTTAAAGCAAGATTGAAATTTTGGGCACAAGCAGTTGCATGTACAGTGAGATTATGCAGCTGAAATGAAGCCATAGAAAATGATAAATATCAACTTACATTTTGGAATAGGGTTTGAGACGATGATTCTGAATGAATTATCGAAATGATTAAGCCTGATCTGAAGAAGGAGTTTTGATGAGTTTGTTTACATGTAAATTGTTATCTGAACAAAAAGAAAAGTCTAAGGGGTGGATTGGTGTCGTACATAAGTATATCTTGTAAATTTAATGAATAAAACTCGTGTCATAATAATATACGAAATGTTATTGTCCGTTTTATTTTGTGGTCTACATTTATCTGGAAAAAACTAAAAATAGAATGTTGATATTATTATGAGAAAACATACCCGAAGTTATGATACCATGTCCAATCATGCATGATATCATGTTCAATCATGGAGACATAGTCATAGATGATGGATGAGCCGAAGGCTTGATTCTAATTTCTGTTAAACATAATTGCAAAAATTAATGGTTCTATGTATTTTTTTATTATTATTATTATTATTATTATTATTATTATTTATTTTTGTTTGAATTTTGATTTTTTTAGTTTGGAAGTCATTTTGGTTATGTTTATATGGTCATTCTATACTTTTTTATTTTTATTTTTATATATTTTTAATATCTATTTTTAATATTTTAATAATTAAAACAATAAATCTCTCTCTCTCTCTCTCTCTCTCTCTCTCTCTCTCTCTCTCTCTCTCTCTCTCTCTCTCTCTCTCTCTCTCTCTCTCTCTCTCTCTCTCTCTCTCATACATAATCCTTTATGAAAATACACAACCAACTTCTTCAACACATACACCCATAAAATTTAGAAAACGATTTATCTGGGTTAATATTTTTGGGTACGATCTATTTTTCTTTTTTTGGAAATCAATTCACATCTTCAGATGGAAACCTAGACGAAGATGAAGATGTATGAATGTTGTTCATATTCCGGTTTGTTATTCAACACATACACACACATATAAAATTTGAATCACACACTTGGTTTTTTGGGTTTGCACTTTAACACACACATAAACAATCTATTTTCTGGGTTTGCTCTTCAAGAACAACAGAAGAAATCGATTGAGAAGTTGAAGACATCAAGGGATGAAATCGATTTCAAATCTGTCAAGATTCAACCACCGTTGATCTCTCAAGATTCAAAACTTTGTAACCCAAATGCAATATGAAAACAATTTCGAATCTAAAATCGATTTTACTGTGAGTTATTTCACCCATCTTTTTCATCCACAATCCTTTTTCCCATTTAAGAAGCCAATTGGGTGTTGATGGCCTCACAAAAGAAACACGGGAAGAGGTAGAGAAAGACAATGGTTTGGGTGTGGGTCAAAATCAATTTGTTCTAGATTTGTGAGTCAACATCGATTTTGTTCCAGATTCTCGAATACATACACATCGAAGAAATGGGTTTAGGGTTCCAAATTGATAGGACATAATCGAATTTGTTCCTTATTCTTGAACAAGAAATCACATACAGAACCTAATGAAAAAGTTTACTTAATGATACAGATCAAGGGATACGGAGAATCAGAGTCGATGACACCTTTGAACGAAATTCTTAAACTGATCTAGGATGATATGAAGGAGTGGGTGAGTTATGGAAGTAAGATTTGAGCAGATGGTAGTAATGTGTCTATTTCTCCATATGAATTTGCATATGGAAAGAACTGAATACAAAAGCTTAGTTAATGATTTCATCGGAGAGAGTGTGTGTGTGTGTGTGTGTGTGTGTGCGCGCGCGTGTGTGTGGGCCCTCTTCTATTGTTTTAATTATTAAAATATCAAAATAAATATTAAAAAATATAAAAATAAAAATAAAATGGTATAATAGTTATTTTAATTTTCGGAAGGACCATTTCCACATAAAAACATGATTAAAAAGACCACGAAGGTAAAAAAAAGTTGAGGTTTGGATGAAAACTCAGAAAAAATACATACCGCATGGATCATTTTTGCAATTTGTCTTTCTATTATAAAGTTTGGTTACTATTGATAAAGATGAAAGGAAAAAACATAATAATTAGGTTACTATAGATTAGGGGTGGCAAATCAGACTATTGTGTCTTATTTTTGTCTAACATAACATGACATGATAAAGTTTTGTGTAACACGAACGTAAGGGATGAAAGTGAGTCTAAACCCAAACTAGTTTATCCGGACCTGAAAACTGGAATTGACGGATTATAAGAATCAGACCCGTATACGGGAACCGATTTTGGGTATCAAATCGGGTAAAATTGGTATAAAATAGGTTGGAAATGGAAATTGATAATTGGAACAACATTCTTCTGTTAGACTCAAAAATAGCTCGAACCCCAAAAATGAAATTGAAAATCCGGAAATTTGGAGAATCAAATTAATGAAAAGTCTCATTTTGTAAAATAAATGTAAACGCTCTTATCCAAGTTAGAACAAAAAAACAAGTAATATGTTATAATAAAAGATAACTAATGCAAAGTCTCATTTTGCAAAATAAGTGTCAACTTTCTTATCCAATAATTAAAAGGTAATAGGTTTTTAAAACAAGAAAAATTGGAAATAGTTACTATAATTAATTGGAAAAAAGTTAATCAAAGAATGGGGACCAAGTCATGTGTGGATCACATAGAAGAGAAAAGAAATTTTTTTTTAGTAGTCGTGTGTGATCGCATAAGAGAAGCGAGGTTTTTTTTTATTTATTACGGCATTATTAGTAGATAGGATATAGCGATTAACCCTTCAAATTCTGGTTTACCCCCAATTTAAACCCGGTTTAGGTTCATTAAATCGGTTCTTATTCTCTCCTATAAATCCGGTTCTACAATCCGGAATAAATGGAAACTCATATAAGGCTACTTTATAAACCCAATACCCGGATTAGATAATCATATACCAGTTATTCCAATTTCGGTTCTGTTCTGATTTTGGTTTTTCTCCGGTTTTCTAGTTTAAAATCTCATCCCTAATGAACACGATACGACACAGTGTCGTGTTTTTTTAATTTTTTTAACTAACACGAAAACGAACCAATTAAAAAACGACAAACATGACTTGACATGATAGAGATAACATAAAATAACAATTAGTTTATTTGATTAATATTTAATCATACATAACACGACAAACATGACAAACAAATGTTAAATCATGTCAATTTCATATCTGATTTTAAACATAAACACGACACGACACAAAATGACGTCATATTTTTTTACATTAGACACGAACACAAAATTGAATTTCAGTTTCGTCTAAATTTTGTCTCGTGTCATGTATTTTTCTCATATCGTGTCATCAGTTGTCACCCCTATTATAGACGATTGTCTCATGGAGAAAATAATCTAACCAAATGAGAGTTTGAAGTGCTTGACATTTATTATTAATAAATGTTGGGGTTTTGAGGACCCACCAGTAACGCAAATATGTAGGATGGTTAGAGTCGAGGTGGGCATAAGACTTTTGTGCGAAAACAAGGTGTTGTTGAAACTTTAGGGAAAATTTTACAGGTACAAATTACGCTACCTATGTTGTATACATCAAAATATTGGTGGATTAAGAATGATCATAAGAGAATTGATGGATGTTGCAAAAATGAGATAATAAGGAGATAATGGAAGTTACAGAAATACGGATAATACAGTAGACATCTGGGTAGAACTTTGTTTGAAAAAAAAATACAAGATGTATTAAAAATATATGTTGGGAGTGGTGTCGACCTAAAACCTAATGGAAAGAGATTGTGTTGGTTCATACATGTGTAAAGGAGGCAACTAATAGCTAAGGTATGAAGGGTGAATGATGACAGATAAGGCTAAGAGGAGATAACAACAAAGAAGGAAGTGTGAGGATAGATTGAGAGTATGCATGCAGGAGTTGGCTCCTGCATCATATTAATGACCACAATGGGTGAATGTTTTGCCACGTCTACGTGAATCTCTTGTAGCTCTGCATGGTGTTGTATTCATTTTCATCATATTGATACTCATAGATGTTTAGCCTTCTTTCATGTTAACCAGACGAATTCTTACAGTGATTAAGCATTTTTCTAGAGCCATATTTAGTATTTATAGCTCCACCTTTATCATATAGTTGATCTCGACTGTTAAATCAATAAGAACTTTTCATGTCTACCATTAATTTTCTACATTTTTTCTTTTCCACGGGGTGGTAATGGAAACTATAGCCATCACCACAATTATATGGCAGCAACTACATGGACATTTATCCATAGTATCATGTAGTATTTGTTAATTGACAATACTAAAATGGAAAAACTAAGGTAATGTTTGGTACGATGGAATATGAGAAGAATGTGATAGTTCGGTCCATCAGAATAAAACAAGTTGTGTACTTTTCTTAGATAAATTGAATGGATATTTCTTGAAGGAATTTGATTTCTTCCGTTTTGCTAATTTCCATTTTGATGAACTATACTATATTCACATGTATATATTTGTTGTGATTAATGCTTTTTAGTGCTTCGTGTTGTTTTAGATATTGTTTTTCTTTTTTGTCTTATTTTTTTCCTATTAGTATTGAGGTTGCAATTGATTTTAAGGACCAAATGTTTTGGATCTGAGGAGGTAGAATTATTCATCATATCGGAAAGCTTTAGATAACTTCATAGTTATCATTTTGAAATGTCCCTAACAAGTCGTAGTGAAGCATTTAGGTTTTATTAGAGTGCATTTTGGATACTATTTTGATTGGTAGAGTTTGTTATTTTTTTTCATTCCAAGTGTTCAACAAATTGTCTAGCTTATAAGGAAATACCTCTTTAGGTTTATGATTCATACACATGCAAAAATCATTTTTAAGATGAAAAGAAATAAAAGGAACACACAAATTTACGTGGTTCATAGGATTAAGGTAATCATGTTACGTTACAGTTGAATTATAAAGGTTTGGTATTGATTTTTGTAATATGGTTTTCAAGCACACAAGATCACATATAGAGAGAAATTCAGACGAACTAGAGACATGCATAATTCTCGACCATTGCCTCGAAGAACACGTCCCTTAAGTAACCATCAGACTCTAAAAAGTCAATAATCTCCCACTTAAAGGATTATCACCAAACTACTACCTTCCAAACCATGTCAATCTTGTAATCGAAACTACAAAATCTCGTAAACCTAGTCCTCTGCCTTCTCATCAATCAACTAAACAAATGGTTTACATTATGAAAATCTTCAAGTTGTTATTGTCATCACCTTAGTAATCATATTTGTTAGATTTTTTTATACCTAGGATCTTTCTTGATGATAACATAACATGAATTATTAGTTATGTGATTATTAGAGATAATTCAATAGAATTAGATTAGACTTGATTTAAGTTTTGAATCAATATTTGTATGGTTAGTTAGTTACAATCTGTTATGTGTAATATATATACCATTAACATACAATAAATTTTTTAAGGGAAATATCTATATCTCTTATATGGTATCAGCCTTCTAAACAATCCCAACCGTAAAATCATCTCTTATTTTTCTTTCAATGACCGGCAGATCATC